TAAAAAAAGAATAAATATTTTTATATCTGAATACAGGACTGCGTCTTTCTCCCAAACCGCTAATATGGATTCGTGACACTTTGTGTTTGTTAGGCGAGTCTTAACATCTTAAGTTGCCTTTTTTTAAGAAACTGGTTTTTGGTGTATCTTCAGGCGATATTCGTAAAACTTGTTTTGGTTGTGTGAGTCTGAGTCGTTCTTCAAAACTAAATTGTTCTTGGTTAGAAGTTGAGGTCGGGATGCGTGGATCTTCAGTCAGCTTCCTGCGAGGCTGGTCTCAGAGGTCACAGCTCAACTCTGCGTCTCTCTCCCCAACTGCTTTCTGTGTTACTTCCGTCCACTCGCTGCGACTCTGCTTATATGGACGCCGACCAAAACCGGGGTGGGCTTGTCGGGGTTTGAGGTTCCTTGATAATTCTAAATCCACAATAACGATTTTCTTTGTTTTCGGACAGGAAAGTTTATTACTTTCCGTTTTTGGAAGTCCATTACTTTCTACTTTAAAGGGAATCGTCCTCCCAAATTCTACCTTTCTCATATTGGTATCTCACACCAATCCCTTCAGAGGGCGTCACCAGGCCTCCCTTCTCTCTCACATGTTTACCTTCGCCTACCGCTCACGCCACCATTCAGCCAATGAACGCTCTGCAGCGTGGGTGTTTGCAGTTATCGCTCAAAGGAAAAAAATATCTTCCTTTTTTCTTCTTCTTTCTTTCTCTTCCCCGAGCAGACCTCCCACGCCTCGTGGTGTGGTCCCTAATCTCTATCTTAACAGAATGTCACCTGGACTTTATCAATCGAGATTTCCGACAGCGTCAAGTGAGTGGTTAACTGGACGTATTCACATTCAGTCGCTAATTAACTATCCTGGTATCAAACTTTTATCATGTTCATGTCTGGACAATACAACAGGTGTTTTTCCCAAAACCAAATGATATCTCAGAAGGATAGTTAATGGTTTAATCTTTTCCTCTCTCTCTTGGGTGGCCTGATTACCATTATCTCTTAGCATTCTGTCTTGTAGGCCACTTGATCAATTTGAAACTTTCATTATTGCCATGGGCAGATGGCTATCTCTTATTCGCCGCCCCGTAACATAAATTAATTCGAGAGATCCGATATCTTATGAATAATTATTTCAGCTTCTTCTCGCCTTAATTATTTCTCGCTTTTCATTTTAACGCGACAGCTAAATAGTGTCACAGCTGATATGCAATAAAACAAAACAAACCAAACTAATATATCCTGAGATAGATAGATAAAAATTATTACCAGCAATAAAAATCATGTCGGCATTAAATAACACATTGATGTTGATATGCCATAAAACAAAAGAAACCAGAATTAATATAGTGAAAAAAAAAGAAAAAAAAAAGAATAAACAAAATGAAAGGAAGTGATTTTCGGGATTCAAAATGAGTAAAGAAAGCTTGGAAAATTTAACACACATAGCGTATATAGTGGTCAATAGAAGAAGCGGAAAATGAGCTAGTAACCTAATTTATAAGTTTGAGTAAGTAGACATTTTTAAAAATCATCTCACGCCAAACAAAGTAATAAACTTTCTAAGAGGCAATGAAGTTAACTGAGTGTTAGAGAATATGAGGAAAACTACTATTAATGCCAGAAGACAATAAGAGAGCCAAAATTAAGAAGACAGAAGATAACGACCGACATTGCATCGAAATTTTTGAAGATTAAAGTTGACAGGGAAGCAAGAAGGCGGAAGAGAGCATGTAGCTCGTTACAATGACGGCTCAAGTAGCCCAAGATTAAAGCCGGTCCGATGAAACGCTCAAATCAGCAAAGTTATGTAATCTCACAGTATATATATATATATATATATATAAATAATAATAATAATAATAATAATAATAATAAACAAAAAATGTGCCTCCTTATTGATATGGCAGTCCCTGCAGACTGCAATGTATCTTTGAAGATATTCAAAAAGCTGTCAAAATACAAGGACCTTGAAATAAAAATCTCAAAAATTTGCCACTTGGGAACATCAACAATCCCTGTTGTATTTGGAGCCCTAGGATTGGTTGGAAAAGATTCCAGTAGACTAATTGAAGGGATTCCTGGAAGTCCATACCTCAAGGAGATAGAAAAAATTGTTCTGACAAGTACAGCCCACACTCTACGAAGGACTTTATCTATGTAATATATATATATATTTTTGTCAGTGGAAAGTGTCATGATGCCATTTCTAGCCTTAGGTTCCTGAGCGGGACCCGGAAAGAAATGGGTAAACGCCAGAAATCAAAGAAAATAATAATAATAATAATGGTGATCATGATAATAATAGTGATTATTATTATTATAATTATTATTATTATTATTTCATGTGCCATCTCCCTTCAAGCCTTTGGGGATCGTGACACTCCACAATTTCCTGTCTTTTGTAGCTACTAATAATTTTTTTTCTCTTAAACCTTGCTCCGCTATCGATTTATTCGTGCTCTCTTGGCAGATCATGCGTTGTTTTCCTCTTTCCTTCTTGCTTTCAGTCTTTCCTGTGAGTATCAAATTTTCCAAGTTTCCTTTCTTTCATCATCATACGTATTTTATAGAAAAAAATAACTTATCTAGGCATCGATTTTCTGTTTATTAGAGGACGGAAGTTTTGTTAATTTTCTCTTAACCCAATGCTCACCCGTCCTGGGTATGACAATAAATTACACCCCATCTCTGATCGAGAGGTTTGGGGAGCATGAAACCACCTCTTAATTGCTATTTTTCTCAGGTCCACTCTGACCTGCGGTGGTTGTACCTGTTTAAAGGAGGAGGCACCGTGGAGTAATGGATAGCACCTTGGATTGAGGAATCGGAGAGCCGAGTTCGAATTTCAGTCGAATCCATTACATTCACTTACGTGCTAACACCCTTGGGAAAGGTGTGAATCCTCTTTCTTCTCCCTCCGGCTATGGGTAAATAGCGGGACAGACTGGGTTCTATAGCCTTGGATGGCAACTGGTCTAGGAGAAGGAAAACTCTGAATTCAAACCTGCTCTTAGAGGAGGGTGAATGGAGTCTCTCTGAGCCTTGGTTGGCAATCCATTTAGTGGTGGTGTCACGATAAAAACACCCTTGATAGCCCTAGCGAAGCATCAAGAATTCAGCTATTTGACAAGATTATGAACTACACCAATCAAAGTATTGGTGAGTTCAATCTCGGCTGAGGCCGCAAGATGATGATGAGTACCTGTTTGCGTCCCAGCTATGGGTAAATAGTTAACCCACAAACGAGGGTCAAAATGAAAGTATTAAAATAGTTTTTTTATACTAAAAACAGCAATACATTTTTGTAAAAGAAATTACCAAGGCTCTCAAAAATTTTTAAATTTCGCCATTGAATGACACATAAGGAGTTGATATGCCGCCAAACAAACAGACAAACCAATGCTTATTTTCTTGATAGAGTTCAAAAACATTTACACAAGTTTGAAGCTGATTATTTTCCATCCCGTAAAATAATCACAGAGGCAATGGTCGGAATAATTTTGAATTATTTTTATTTTCGTGCCAAAAAGATACAAATATATATATATAAAAAAATCTGGTCCCCGGTCACTTAGCTGCTTATTTAACATTGGACGATGCAACATATGTCTGCCTGTGGAAGGCCCCCAAACAAAGACCTTTCATTTCTACTCTACACACCCTACTTCCCCATTCCTTTTACTTTTTGTTCATTTTCTTATTGATTATTTTCTCTTATGTCTGCGTATAAAACATTGTGATACGAACAAATGAAAGTCCCAATAAAATCTACACCCTTGTGCAAATTAATAGAATCAAAACGAATAATTCCGTTATTATTTATATTTTCCCGTATTTTTCAAATGAAACATAACCCACTACACATGTTAGTACTTCGTATGTCCATTCGACGAAGTCATTCCTTGCAGTTTGCGCACAGATTCTGGATTGGATTTAAATCAGGAGATTTTCCGGGACTATTTCTCGCATTTAGATTTGTTCACTGGTAAGACTTGCCCGTGTGTTCTCGGGCAGCATTACAATTTAATATATTTCCTTGGATTAACGCTTATCGCAGACATTGGTCGTAGAACAACTAATCGACAGTCGAGACAATAGTGTGATAAAAAATCTGTGAATCAGTGATAAAGCAACATTTTTCAAGACTACAGAAATTTCATCATACACCCCTAAAATAGATTTATATTTTTGCACACCACTGGAAATGACCTAATCTGAGGAAAAAAACAGAAATTGATTACACCTTATCACGCCAGTGGGTCTAAAACTGACCGTATGGTGAAAGAAAGGAAACTAAAGCTGTTGTTTCAATTGATTTGCACATGGGTCTATATTCATTCAGTCAGTTAAGCCTCATAAATGATACATAATTTGTCGATCATAGTTCTTTCGTTTCATGACTGGAGATTTTTTCGCAGCAGAATAACGTTCATGCGCTAGACTGGTCTCCAACTAATATTATAGAGCCAGCCTGCCCTGCTAATCACTATTAAATTCGCTGTCTATCGAGCTGTGAATACTGGAACCTGTATCGCCAACAAATAAAACTGCTTAAGAGATTCTAGATCCGCTGCCTTCAGCGGATCTTGCACGTTACTTGGAGAGATAAAATCCCCCACACTGAAATTTTTCAACGTGCAGAAATCGTCAGCATCGAAGCCATCGTCTGACAACGCCTTCTATGTTGGGTTGGATGCGTGGTGCGGAGACCGGGCCATCGCCTCCCAAAAATTGCATTCTTCGGAGAGCTGGAAACCGGCAGTTGACCACGTTGAGGCCCAAAGAAATCATTTCGAGATTATCTTAAGCGTGCTCTTATTTCTTGCAGCAATTGACCCGACACAATTAAAGAACGCCGCAAAGGGTCAGACCGGCTGGGAGTCTCTCTGCATCACCGGAGTGGCGCACATCGAGGAGGAGAGACGAGGAGCGCTCGAGGGGAGGCCAGCATCATCTGCAACTTGACAATCCTGCACCCGTCATATTTCCCTACCATGCCCGAGAACTTGTTCACGGATCGGGCTGCTATCTCACTTGGCAGCCCACAGAAGACGGATGGAGATGGAAGGACAGCGTCGTCGTCAGCAATGACGGACACTATTGAGCAAGTAAGCCAGCTATTCAACCCATAGCTAGAGAGAGAAGTGATGGATTTATTTCGTCTCCCGTACGTTTCTTTGCGCGTAAGTGAATATAATAAACACGACAGGAATTCGAACACTGTTCTCCGATTTCACTTTCCGAGCCATTATCTATTATGTTAAGCCACACTGCATATTCTTCATTAGAAAAATAAAAATTTAAATATTCCTCGTGCATGTTATTTAGGTAAACGTTACGAGAAAACTCGTTATAGATTCGTACCGACTGACAGCAGAAAAAAAGTTACAAAAACAAAAAAAATCAAATAAAACCTACCTACTGCTTAACCGAGAATTGGGATTTAAATTCTCTCTCGTTTGTAGAGATTTGGTGTTTGTTTAATCAAATACGCTAAAAGAAATATAATTTTTGTAAAACAAATCAACCATCTTAAAACCAAAAATAATGATACCTATACAAATCTTAACCGAAACAAAATCGATAGTATAAATTCCCGACCATTGATAAACTATTTCCTTCCGGAATGTCTATGCATTTCTATAGTAAATATTTATCAATTATACATGTTTGATTCTTTGATATTTTTACTGCTGATCAAACATTTGCAGGTTATTTTGAAGCCATTTTTTTTTTAGATTGTAAGAATCCATTTGGAAGATAATAATGATTGATACAAACATTACAAATTAAATCATTTCTGAGGGAAAAGAGATGGATTCGTACCTTTCCCAGTTATGGGAATATAACGAACCCGATTTCCAATTTATTTTTAATGGAGTTCGTCCTATTAGTCAGTTATGTGCCATTCCTGATACACTCTTAGGCGATCATGTATCTTTCGATACATGGCTGACGAGGCAGATTTTTACCGCATTAGGTTGCCTTTTATTGCTACTGCTATTTACCCATACCTAGGGGGAGAAGAAGAGATTTCATACATGTTTTTAATTTGTCCTGCACGTGTCCAAATCTCCAAACCTTCTTTCCTTTTTTCAAAAAAAAAAAAAAACAAACTTTCTCATTACTCACACGATCCCCGTCTATAGTGTCCCCATCACCCTTTTGTAGAATCAGAATCCAGTTGTAAAAACTCTGAGAAGAAACTGCCCTGCATAATCTGCTGTATAGGAGAATTGCATAGCAGTTAATCTTCCTTTCTTACATAGAAATCCAGTCAGTCCTGAGCCATACGAGATATACGCAGTTGCCATCCAAGGCTATAGAACCCGGACTGTCATGCTATTTACAACTGGGGTGTATTAGCACGTAAGTGAATGTAATGGATTCGACTGGAATTCGAAATCGGCTCTCCGATTCCTCAATCCGAGCTGCTATCCATTACTCCACTGTGCCACCCTATACAAGGCAATAAAGCCACTAAGACACGGCGGGTTGTGGAAGAACAATAAACAGAAATATTACTAATGAGTGAGAACAAAAAAAGGAGTAATCAGGAGGACATTAGATAGCAATTGACATAGCATTTAATGTTTTGTAGTTTAAAGTTGACTGGAGAGCATGGAACTGAAAGGGAGTTCCACAAGCGAGAAGTGCGAGAAAGTAAAACGTTAGCATGGAATTTGCGGTTACATCTAGCCAATTCAATTGTAAATCGACGCTAGTCTAGAATTGCGCTTACATTCAGTGTCTAGGAACGTAGCGATGAGTTATCCGAATATTCTATTCATAGAAAAGGCACGGGGGGGGGGGCGCAACCTTACTGCAGTGGAAAAGTGACTGAAGATGAGACGCCAGACCAGGATCAATAATATTGGTAAACCGTTATTCTTTACACCTCCACATATCTAAGCATACAACACCGGGTGTCCCCATGCGATCATTAGGTTATCTAATAATGTATCTTCCAAGCGTAGCTTTGATGTAGCACAAAGCCGAAAGTAAGAGGCACCCAGTGAAGATTGAACTCACTACTTAGCCGTAATTGTTCTAGCGAGACAAGCTTGCTAACCATTACGCCACCTGGAGGTGCCTAATAACGTATTTAGGAAGTTTTCTTTAACTCTACGCTTTCGTTTATATTTTTTCAGCAGCACTGACGTCAAGATTTCGTCAAAATTAAATACAGGTGCTTTGAAAAAATTGTGCATACGTAAAATTGGACTCTCCTGTCATTGATTCCTGAGCAATAACTTTCAGATTGTCAGTTTAGCTTTGTCAAAAAATGTTTATCTATTATACCTTTCTTCTTCTTCTTCTTCTTCTCCTTCTTCTTCTTCTTCTTCTTCTTCTTCTTCTTCTTCTTCTTCTTCTTCTTCAGGATATGGGCGATCATGGTTCTCCACAACTTCCTATTGTAGCTCTACGTAACGTTCGTCTTGTTGCCATACTTTGTCCCCATTCCACCATTCATTTACACAACTGCTTTTGGTAGGTGCTTCAATGTATCCCCCACTGTCCTTCTTGCCTTTCATATGTCGTGTCAGTGTCAAATTCTTGAAGTCCTCCTTCTTAATTATAATAAATTTCAGCTGTCTCTTTCTGATTCTGAGTAAAAATGTCTTTTGTTTATATTTACTGTATGCATAGCATTCTCAGTATCCTTCTGTAGAACAATATTTCTGATCCCTGCAGGCTTCAATTCATTCGTGAAGAAATTATTCAGTCTTTGCTACCGTATAGAACTGATATTACATAACAGTTCATAACAGTTTCTTTACTTCTTATGAAATTTTCCTGTTTCTAAGAACTTTGATTTTTGGAAGGCACCATTTGTTATTCCAAACAGCGCTTGGATTTTCTGCATCGCATGTTGCCACCACTGTTGAGACAATTCCAGGACTTCTGTACTTGATTGATTTTGGCATGAACAAGTTGTTCACGTCTTGATTTTTCTTTTTCTCATGCTGATAAACATACATTTCTTAGAAGGGATGGTTAAAATAACGCTATCATGTCAGTAATGCTTGAATTAATTCGCGACGACATGCAAATACTTTCTTATTAAGAATCATACATAAGATAGTCTCCTTCAGACAATAAACTTCCTGCCAACTTGCAATCATTTCTTCCTGATTTTCAATATATTTGCATCTTAAATGCTTAATTATTTACCGGATTAGTTAAGAGACACACGTGATTCACGTTTGGGTGAGAATGTCTCTTTCGAGACTACGTAGAATATTTTCTTGCAGACTTCTTCTTTTATGAGCTGTGTCCCTTAAGGACGATCATGGTCCTCCACATCCTCCTGTAATTTGTAGCTCTTAATAACCTTTGTCTTTTTCTTATTTCTCCCAGATCCTGTTCCGCCATTCTTTTGCTCAAGCCTGTTAAGTATTTTACGCATTTCTTTCCCTTGTTCCACTTTCCGTCCTGTGATTATCAGATTTTCCAATCCTTCCTCCATTACTAGTCCCATAAATCTCAATTGCTTCTTCCTGGTGTTGTGTTTCTTCTTTGTTTCCATTCTTTCCAAAACCTCGTCGTTGTTCACATGTTCGGTTCATATTAACCTTAGTGTCTTTCTGTAGAACTACATTTATATTGCTTTGAGTCTCTTCTTCATCTTCGAGGAGATTGTCCAGCATTCCTTTCCATAGAGGAGGAAAGATATAACGTACTCTTTTCTTCGTTTCCAATGAAATTTTCCTGGCTCTTAATACTCTGCTTAACTTTTGAAATACGTCTTTGGCTATTCCAGTACGTCTTGCCATTTCTTTCTGTGGTAGACTTGTTGCCATCCAAGGCTATAGAACCCAGTCTGTCTTATTATTTACTCATAATTTGGAGTTGGATTCAAACCTTTCCCATGGTTATTAGCACACCAAGGGAATGTAATGAATTCGACTGGAATTCGAACTCGGGTCTCCGATTCCTCAATCCAGGTCGTTAACCATTACTCCAGCATTTTCTAACTGAGACATACCTTAATTTTAAACAATTGAAATTCTCATCTACGCTGATAGATAAACAAAGATTCAGTTCCATAAAGTCCTTAAACAATATTTACTTAAATGCATTGCAGTTTAAAGCGCGATCGGTATTTTAATTTGGAGCCACAAAGGCGACATTCACTTCCTTGTAACATGTCCAACTTTACAAAGAAGAGGGCCAATACCAATTCTTTTGTGTGAGGAAGATTGTAGATTTTCTTTAGGCACGTCTCTGAAGCAAATAATATAAAATGAAAGTCCGATATCCTCAATAACATTAAATTAATTCTTATTCTTCTTGTACTGCTTTTAACAGACACTTTACAGTCTAAATCAGTGATTCTTCACAATTTCGTCCTTATGACCCATTTTTGGTGTCAGACGAATTTTTAAGCCAACATAAACACTAATAGAAATTTGATATAAGAAGTAATAAATTTTATTTACAAAAGCAAAATATAGTAGAAAACATAAATCCCGGCTAATAATAACACTCACTCTGGTGTATACCTATTAGCTATTGTCAAGTTGATCTTTGGTCCAACAAGTCATGTCTCTTTTCAATCTGCAATAAATTATGTTATGAAAATTATGAAAAGCCAACCTCAACCAGCCTCTAGAACCCATTAGTTGAAAATATGATTTATTAAAAGAAGAAAACGTCGAAAATTTTCCTTAAAAATTCTAAATTATTTGCCTTTAAAAAGCAGTTTGAGTTGAAGCAGTTGGTGTTTCCATAATTTTACGCCAGCAGAAAAAAAAAAAATTCGAAGTCTAGTTATTTCCCTTGGGCCAACTTCAGGCTCATTTTAAAAATATTTTAAGGCCATGCGTGGGCCAAAGGATCCATGTTGGGAATCACTGGTTTAAATAGTAAAATTTACTATAATTTTTTCCGATAAAATAAGTGAAATACTTTTGATTTTTTCCGAAGTTTTTTTTTTTATTTATGTTGTCATCACTATCTATTTGAGTGAACACAATATGACGAAAGTCAACGAGAAATGGTGTCATTTTTGAGGCGTACTGGATTGAGATGCAGGTGGCACGACAAGGCAAACGTGATTTTGGCTTTTCTTACCATCAAAGTTTTCTGTCTCACTACACATATGATTATTGGACTGAATCAAATTTGTTTTTCTAATCTGTGATATCATGACGAGTGTCGCTTTAACTCTTTTTCACGAACACGATTTCTCTATCTCTTATTCTCTCTGATAAATATATATATAAACCTTCGCTCTTTTTACACCATGTGAACACAAACACAACTAGTGTTGGATCAATAGTTTTGTAGGTTGAAAGCGTTATCTGATATCTGATGTGTCATTTTTACTGTCAATAGAGGAATGTTGGCTTATGGAGATTACCAGGGAAAGAGGTTATGTTGAAATATAAATAATGATTGAATAATGCAAATACCTTCATTAGGCAATATATTCATTCATTAGCATATGTAAATATCTGGCTGATTACACTTACGTGCTAACTGATATAGATACGTATATATATATATATATATATATATATATATATATAATTATTTATTTAAAAATATGATTCCAACGCTACATAAGAGTTCTCATGTTTCAAAACAAGAGCCGAAAACTTCAATATAATTATTTGAATTAAATTGAACTAAAGTACTAAGCTGTGTTCCATCTTCAAGCGAATTTTTTTTTTGAATAACTTATTCCTGAAATTTACGCGTTTTTTAAGCATATTCATTATTGAAATTAACAGTACTATGGTAACGGCTAGAGCAATTGTTTAAAGAAAAGAGGCGTAAGGTGTTAATAATTTGTATCAATATCTCAATTACATTCACAGACGTCAAGTCAGGGTAAGGTTGGGGTGTCTAACTTTAAAGCGGAAGATGACATCGTCTAGTCTGGTTAAGCGTCTATGGAGATTTATTTATTTTTTTATTTTATTTTTTATTTTTATCTGAAAAGGTTTTGTGTATATAAAAAAAAACTGTCGTAAGTCGCTAACATTTGTTTTTCTGACGACTTCATAAAGGTTTTTAAATAAATAATTATGTTTATGCTCTACTTTTTTATCAAGCACCATTTTTAAAAATAATAACAAAAATACTAAAGAACTTTGGATTATTTCCCTAACGAGTTCTTTCCTATTTTCTATATATTTTTATACACACACACACACACACACATATATATATATATATAATAGACAGAAATTTCAGGTATTTGATTTCTATTAGTTACACACACATATATCACGTTTACTCTACCTCACTATTACTCAAACTCACGCATTGATGTAGACAACACACGAACATATATATCTCGTACATATGCATATACATAAATAATATATGCCTATAACACACACGCGCACAAACACGCATGTATATACATATATAGATAGAAAATCAGATAAAATATGTAAATGAACTGTGTACGTTATATTATTCGTTTTATCTCCTCTTACGTTTGGTCGTTCTCTCTCTCCCCCCCTCTCTCTCTCTCTCTCTCTCTATATATATATATATATATATATATATATATATATATATATATAATCTCATCCATCATTCTATCTTCCTCTATCTCATACAAACACACAGATGTAGGCAAACAGAAAATTTACGTATCTAAACGCTACGTCATATATATATATATATATATATATATATATATATATATATATATATATATATATATATATATATTATAATATTTTTTAAATGCGAAGGAATCATATATATATCAAATATGTGGTACAGATCAATTTATGTTACAATGAATCATTCATACAAAATTAGTAAATTTAATGATATAAAATGGCGAAAACTCTTCACAAATAAAATTTTAAAGTTGTATTAACCTACGAACCACTCGATGAATATTATGATCCTTGTTTTTAATAACTACACGCTGTACAAGGTCTTGTTTCATCTGCTAATACTTTCAACTGTACACAGTCATCCTCAGGCATGGAAATTATTTTATTTTTAGCAAATCCAAGTAATATCAGAGACGAAAGATTAAATGCGAATCGAAATATGTTTTTTATTTATTGTAGACATGTGTTATTGTTAACGGATAAAAACTTTTAGAGGTTGAAATATTTTGAAAATTTAAGAGAGTGCGTTTTTGTACTTGGTAATTTGAGATTTTTTTTTTTTTGATGTAGGAGGTTATCCGTCATTGTGGCATGAACTAAATTGTTTAATAAATAGAGTAATGTCTCAGTTGTTATCCCGAAAATTTGTACGTCGGATCAGTTCTTTTAAATCAAATATGTGCTGCAGTTCAATTTATATTACAATGAATCATTCATACAAACAGGAGATTTGTAAAGTTCATGATATAATATGGCGAAAACTCTTAGAAAGATTAAATGCGAATCGAAATATGTTTTTTTTAGAAATGTGTTATTGTTAACGGATAAA